AAGTAAGACTGGTTGCTAAGGGCTTTACATAGACTTGTGGGGTAAATTACTAGGAGACATCTGCACCGGTTACTAAGATGAATTCTGTGAGAATACTATTCTCTCTTGTAGCAAATTTGAATTGGCCGCTTTATCAATTTGATGTGAAGAATGCCTTCCTTCATGGAGACCTAGAAGAAGAGGTCTATATGGATATTCCCCCTAGTTTTGAGGATGCTAGGTCCAAACGTAAAGTGTGCAGGCTTCGGAAGTCACTTTATGGGCTAAAACAGTCTCCTAGGGCTTGGTTTGAAAGGTTTGCTCAAGCTATGCTGCGATATGGGTTCAAGCAAAGTCAAGCTGATCACACTTTATTTGTGAAACACTCCTTACATGGTAAGACCACAACTCTTATTGTCTATGTTGATACTATTGTACTGACAGGAAATGATGATGAGGAGATCCCTCAGTTGAAGGAATATTTAGCCAAGGAGTTTGAAATCAAAGACTTAGGCAATTTGAAGTAATTTTTAGGCATTAAAATAGTGGTCCAAGGATGGCATCTTTATATGCTAAAGGAAGTATGTATTTGACTTGCTAACGGAAATTGGAATGTTTGGAGGTAGGCCATGTGATACACCTCTAAAACCGGGCCAGAAATTAAGTGAGGATCAAGGGGAGATCTAGTAGATATGGGGGGTGTCATGTCCCGAACCTGCCTCTATGGATTAAGTTCATAACCGGCCAGTAATCATGAGATTACCTACGGCCTCAATCGAGATTAAAGATATCTCAATAGAAATAAAGGGGGCCAAAATGGAAGCAGACTTAAAAATTTTGTCCAAAAGCTGTACTTACATGACAAAGCGAAATCATTTCATAAGCAGTCCATAATAACTCACACATATAAACAGAGTTAACATCTTATAACATCTTGTACAACTAGGAACTTTCAGACATACAGTCAGCCAAACAAAAAGTTTATATACATAAGTGAACCAACGTATTCACCAAGGTAGCAAAAGGGGTAAAACAAAAGAACAAAAACATAGTCTTATGCGTGAGACGTTCAGGCTGACTTCACAAAAACTTGGAATTCTCTCACATTCTTCACTAAGGTTGGGGTTGGACATCTCTCTGCTCACCAACATACATATAAATAAGAGTGAGCGAAAGTCCAGTGAATAATACCGAAGTATAGAGGCTATATGAATGGAATTCTCTAATAGGTAATGTCATTGACAAACACATCAAACGACCTTAGGTCCATTCATATTCTTATCAAATATATCAAACAACCTTAGGCCCAAACATATTAAACGCCTTTGGCCCAATTCATTTATATCAAACGGCCTCGGGCCCAATTCATTCGTATCAAATGACCTCGAGCCCAATCATCGTATCAAACGGCTTCTGGCCCAATCATATCTGGCCCATCATTTTCATATTCATTTTTTTATGCGCATTTTATATTCGCGATCATGATCATATTCATATTCAAATGGCCTTAGGCCAACGTATTCGTATTCAAACGGCCTTTAGGCCCATTCATATCCTTATCAAGTATATCAAATGGCCTTAGGCCCAATTCAAATATATCAAACGGCCTCGGGCCCAATTCACTTTTCACGGAACTTTATACAGAAATTAGGCATATAGAATACTTATTCATAATTCAAACCAACAAATCCATGAAGCTTATACAGAAGTAGCAGTTGGAAATTAACATACTTGAAAATATCTTTACTAAGATATTACTCATAGTGTTCCATCGATGGATTTGCTCTTGCGCTTGACTTTACACATTTCATAACACATAGGGTCACAAGCAATTCAACCCGTTCTTAACTTGTTTATTTCTCTTAGGCCTTTTTCTTATTTCTTTAATTCATTTACAATGCCTAATGCATGCCTAAAAGTGCTTAGAAATGAATGAGAATGGAAAACGAAACATAAAATAGCTTTTCAAGAGTTTTTGAAACAGGGCGCTCGAGCTCAGCTTTGGTCACTCAAGCAGTTTGCAAAACTCTGTAAAAGTACTAGTTGTATGAATTTTATGCTCGAGCGAGACTTTTTCCGTTCGAGCGAGGAGTATTGCAAAACAGGGTTTGCTCGAGCTCAAGATCTGTCGCTCGAGCTACTGTGCAAATCTCTGCAAAACTTCTGGGAGCTTGATTTTTACGCTCGAGCGAGGCTTTCTTCGCTCGAGCGAACATGTCGAATTCTAGAATTTCCAAAATTCTGTTTAAAATTCAAAACACACTCCCAAAGGTCCAAAGCTTACAAATTGGTACCAAAACATGGAAGAGCATTGATTAACATGTGAACATAGGTAATTTGAAACCAATTGGCTACAATTATGGTCCAAGTTTCAAATCATTCCAAGTTCTTCTTGTTAATTCCAAAGCTCATGCAATTAAGTCTCATATCTTCATGAATCATGTATGCATATAAAGAATGGACTCTAATTCCACCTCAAATGGTACAAACATGGTTGTTAAAATCGCGATCCGGATCGTACGATCCTACTTTGCCAAAACGATCCAGATCGTTGTAGGATCGATGTTACAACAGGATCACAAGTAGGATCGTGTAGGATCACATGGGATCGTGTAGGATCGTATGGGATCGTATAGGATCGTAAGTAGGATCGCAAGTAGGATTGTAAATTTTATGATTTTTCACCTTATTTTTAATATGTATCATTTTAATTTTAATTTTTTTCTTTTTTTTAATAGAAAGTAGGATCTTACGATCCTCGATCCGATCCTACGATCCGATCCACCAGACCCTCTCACCGATCCTACTTAGGATCCCGATTTTAACAACCTTGGGTACAAATGATGCTCAAAGTCATGAAGCTCAACAAAATTGTGCATGTATGTATGATTTGGTACCCAATTATTCATATTTAACTTGCCTTATGCTAGATTAGACAAATACATGGCAATTCTTTACATACATGGATATATTGACTTCAATTTCATCATACACCACTCAAATCTTGTTCTTGATCACCAACTCTCTTGGAATTCATATAATTGCAAGCTTAAACTCATGAATTAAGGGTTGGTTACTCACCCAGAGGCTCCAATCCTTCCAAATATAGCGAAGTCTTGAGCTAATCCACCTAGTTCTTGAATTCCTTTGCAAATTCTTCAAGGATGAGCTCTCTCTCTCTCTCTCTCTCTAAATTCGGCTCTCTCTAGAGTGTGTATTTTAGATTTTTGAGCTCATTCTGTGAACCTAAGTGTATTAAGCACATTTATATAGTGATTAGATTAAATTAATCAATCTCAATTAAAGTTAATGAGCCTCAATTAATTAATCTTATTATTTCGATACGAATCAATTTTTAATTAAATTTCACCGTAGGCTCTAAAAATCACGCTGATCACAATGGTACAGACAATTTCAATTTCTGTCGCCTCTATGGCCTTAAATTTTCAAATTATAGCAGTAAGCTGGATAGATTTTCTTACGGTGAACAGATATAGATTCAAAAACATAATTATCGTCCAAATACACAACCCAGACCCTGATAAAATGCATCACTATAAATTACAAAGTTTTCTGTACCTGTGGGCAAAGTCAACACTGGTGCAGTAGTCAATCTCGTTTTCAGTTCTTGGAAGGCATATTCTCTTTCATCAATCCATTCAAATGGTTGTCCTTTGTGTGTGAGTTGGGTAAGTTGTACGGCTATTCTCAAAAAATCTTTCACAAACCTTCTGTAGTACTCGGCTAAACCTATGAAACTGCAGACTTCCGTTACATTTGTTGGAGCAGGCCAATTCACAATTGCTTCTATCTTCTGTGGGTCTACGGAAATCTCATCTCTGTTAATAATATGGCCCAAGAAGACGACTTCATCTAACCAAAATTCACGTTTTTTTAGTTTAGCATATATCTTCTTTTCTCTGAGAGTTTGCAAAACAGTTCTCAATTGTTGTTCATGATCAGTTCTACCTTTTGAGTATATCAAGATATTATCAATAAAAACCACAACAAACTCATCAAGGTAAGGCTTAAAAATTCAATTCATAAGATTCATAAATATTGTAGGGGCATTAGTCACTCCAAATGGCATAACAAGAAATTTATAATGACCATACCTTGTCCGAAACGTAGTTTTCTCAACATCTTCTACTTTGGATTAGACTAGTGTTGGGAGACTTGGGGATCCATCAGACCAATTCTATGAGATTGTACTGTGACAATAAGGCGGCAATTAACATTGTTCATAATCAAATTCAACATGACAGAATCAAGCATGTGGAGATTGATAGATACTTCATTTGTGAAGACTAGGGATCAACTAGCAGATGTTCTCACCAAAAGAATAGGGAGCAAACCATTTCATGACATTCTCAACAAGCTGAGCATGAGAGATATCTTCGCACCAGCTTGAGGGGGAGTGTTAGAATAGAAAATAATATTTGTTATATTTTATTCTTATTTGATTTTATTTTCCCTTGATTGATGTAATTGGCTGGCCCATAATTTATGTCTTATGGCACTTCTGTAATTACATATTATTATCAATATACAAGGGAATGAAGTCTCACTCATTCCCTATCTCTTTCTCTTCTCTAAACTTACAGTCATTTCCCTCTTATCGACTGTATTTGTAGAGGTCATCTGTATCTTGTAGTTTATGGGAGTGGTAATTTCGTTAACAACCTGCTATACTATAAGGTAGTGTTTGTTTCACTAGAATGATTTTTAGACAGGAATGGAATGGATGGAATATGTCCATACTCCTAAACTGGTGAATAGTGATTCCATTTTGAATGTAAATTCCTTTCCTCTTTACTGAACCAAACATGAAAATGTGTATTCCGATGAATGACCATTCCTGGCTCATTCCAGTGAACCAAACACTGCATAAAGAGACAACACAACAGATACCAGGAAATGAAGGCTTGGAATTAGTCAACCACTGTATCTGTTAGTAGGACAATTTCCGGGGATACTCCTCAAAATGTTTGACGATGTACCTTTTTGTTGATTTTTTGCAGAGTTCAGGCAGAAGAATGCTGGAAAGAGGTCCGCATACAAGGCAAAGGAAGCAAATAAGAAGAAGGAAAAAGTGACACCTGTGGAAAACGGAGGTGAAGACAAGCAAGATAACAGGGATGAAATGAACGAAGATGAGAACAATACTCCTGCTAATGACTAAAAAGACGGCGAAGTAAAAAAAAAGGAGTTAATATGCTGTTGTTTTACTTACCATCCCTGTTTTTTAAGTTGGTAGCTTGACGGTTAGCTGCAGGAGCATTTCAGAAGTTGCTTTTATGATAACTTTGGTAAGTACTGATGTTATCGCGGAAGATGCTTGAATGAGTTCATCAAAGTTGAGACTATTTGGTTGTACCCTAGCCATCCTTGTATTTACTACTGACAAATTTGATAGTTGTACTTTTAATTAAGTATAGTTTGCATTACTGTGTTTTGCATAATGTATTATCTTCATTAGTGCGCTTTCCTTTATGCATATATATATATATATATAGGTACACAGAGAGAGAGAGAGAGAGATAGAGAGAGAGAGATTAAAGAACTATTCTCTTTTGGTTTGCTTGAGAGTGAACTTGATGTAATATGGCAGATAGCAAACATCAATGGGGGATGAGGAGACTGAAGTGCTGTGCTGATCCATATCTTCTCTCCACTCTCAAACTTGAACTTCAAATCGGTGGAGGATGTGACTTCATCTTGTAGAGAAAATAGAGATTCAACATTTGCATCATCAAGAGCTTCAGGTTGGCTGACTAAGATGTCTCTTTTTGGCTTTGATTGATTGAGCTACCAGGACTTTAGAATCCATGTAATAAAAGAAATAAACATTGTCAATACCTAAAAATTGAAGTTCATAGCCTTAACTCTGCCTCACCTTCTTTAGAAAACTTAGATGGGAATTATGTGTGGAATCTTGACTCAATGTCTATTTCAAAGCCATCATTTTTGGTGCCATAAAAGAGGGTCAATTAAGGCGTTTTAGGTCACTGGCTGTCTGAACACAACCATTTAGCTTATAAAGGGCCTCATGGTTCAGTTACAGAAGAACTCTATGACTGAGTTATTAGATTCTAATTCTTTTTTGTCTTCTTTGATTTGGTGGTTAAATTTTTGAAGGATACGTTGTGGTATGTTGCTTTTGGAACTCGAATTTTAAAAGATTTGCCGAGAGAAAAGAAAACTGAATAAATTTGTGAAAAAATTTAACTTTTATTTTATTTACTACTCTCCTAGACAAGTACCTTCTAAATTTAAAGATTCAAACATAAGTTAAAAATTTTAGAATGAATACCATTTTTTAAATAAAAATTCCTTTAATTATTTATATATATATATTTAAAAATCAATATAATTTATCCTTCCAAAAATATTAGCATTTTAACTACATATTGGAATTAGTCAATTTTATAATTTTTATTTCAATAACCTTCTCTTAAAAAGAAAATGAAATTTGACTTGTTACCTCGTTTGGTAATGTTTTTGTTTTTATTTTTAGTTTTTCTATTTTTGTTTTTATTTTTTAATAAATTGAAAACAAAAAAAAAAACAAAAATTTGTTTGATATATTATTTTTAGTTTTTAAAAATAGATTTGATTTCAAACTTTATTTTCATTTGCAAGCTTTGATCACCTTCCGGCAGCCTTTTGTGACATCCATCAATATTCTAACCACCAACTCCGACGAGAACCCCTTGCCACCCCATCTTCCCCCACCACATTTGTCTACCCTCCATTGTTAGTTATTATCTCTAGCAACTACACAAACATGTTTATTTATTTTTGTTTTCACTTATTTTCAAAAAAATTATACATCAATTAAATTTTTTTTAACAAAAAAAAAAAAATTAACAAAAAAAAAAAGAAAAAAGGATAATATTATCAAATGAAACCAAAATGTTTAAGATCATACCTATATTTGTTTTGTTTTTTAATTTTGGAGTGTCAAATATTTTAGGATATTCAGGCTATAAATTCAATTTAAACCTTTTGAGGTAGTCGCCAAGCTCTAATATTTTGAGATCATAAGAACAATAACAATTTGAAAAACTATATGTCTACTATTATTTTTGTATATATATATATATATCTACTGTCACATATTAGCTCATGTCATCTATCTTATATGTCCAATGTCATTTATAAGTCCATTTACCTGTCAACTTAATCTACTGATCTATCTATATCACCATTATCACTCGCCACCTTCGACAGCTTTTTCAATGACTGTGTCACGATCCCATTTTGCCCCTAACAAAATGATGCCACGATGGCAAGCAATCCGAGATTACCGAAGGTTAATTTACAAAGATTCATACAATCAGAGTATACATATGGGGTGTACATATGCGGAAGCAATAAATTTAAATGTAATTAGTCCATAAGAGCTGTGCATAGATTAAATGAAATGACATACATATTAACATGATTTTACAACTTGAATACAAAAATAAAATAACTTAATATTACAACTTGATCAAAAGGCTTCTCAAGCCCAAATATACAAGGCAAATGATCTACAAAGCTAAGAAGCATAATTTTCAAGATGCTACAAAACGTAAACCAACACAATCTTCCACATAAAGCTTAGGCGACATCGCCTTCTTGTTCATCACCTACATATATATAGGAGAGATGAGTGAACTGAAAACTCAGTGAATGATATAAGTAATAAAGGTTTGAATGAATGATACTCGAGATTTTATCAAAACAATTACATATCATAGCTTGTAACAAAATCAAATGATGAATTGAGTTCATCAATCAAAGGCTTTCAAAGCTTCAAGGGATGTTTACTAACATTTACATAATACAAAGGATGATATTCATTAACAAAACAAATGAATAACCGATCTGGAATTGATTAGACAAGCTCACCTGTCAGTGGCAAAGGAGATATCTCAAACAAAGATACTAGTTGCATTAAAGTCCCCTAGCACTAAGGACCTTTCAAGAATGTCATCAAAACAAACATAGTACTTGATACAAAACTAAAGGGTAATCATTCATGCTTGATCAAATACTTTTCCAAAACGAAGCAAAGTTTTTATCAAAACCTTATAACATAACTTTATTAAAAATACCACTCACAAAACTCTTCGGTCGAGAGGATTAAGGCAAAGATCCAAGACCTACAATTACATAGTAATTCCATTGAATGCACTTCAAGAAGGTAAGAAGAGATGCTCAAAGATAGTTATGAAATGCACTTTCAAAACAAGTTTCAAATGAATAAAATAGATCCTGACATTTCATTCCAAAACCAAGTCAAAACAAAGTAAAACATGTGTTAGTAGTTAAATCAATGTTTTTCTTCTTGGAAAGCATGCTTAGTACAAACCAGGTCTTGGAATGGATGCATAGAGTCAAAATGATCTAGCTGGGTGAACTCAGGAGGTCTTGGCTGAGGTTTTACACCTCTTGGCCGAGTTGTGGCCTACTTGGCCTAGATATGGGCTGCCCGTCCGAGATGTTACAAGGTATCGGGAAAGTGTGCAGTGGTCGGTCCAGGTATGCATACAAGGTAGACTAAGGTGCAAGTGATCTTACTAGGTAGGCCGAGGTGAGATTCAATGCTTGGCCTAGGTGTGAAAGGTAAACAAGAGTGGGTCTCGGTGACCACACTTAGGGAAGTGAAGTTTGGAAATCTAGCTAGGTTTCCTCTTGAAGAACATGAAGAACATGAATGCTAAAATCATAATTTCTTATTCAAAATCTAGGATTTCATGATATGACTTCAAAAATATGGATCTGTGTACCCATACTTGAAGATTTTATGAGAACAAACACAAAACACATGGAACTTGATACAAACTTTTGGATCAAAACATGATTTTTCTTCAAGAACATCACTTCCTCTCTCTAAAACAAAACTTTAAATCAATGCATGACTCATGAATCATGCTAAATCATGCAATGTGATTAGATTAACATAAAGAACAACAAGAGTATATCAAGAATCCAACCTCAAAACACAAATCCAATGGTTCAAACTCATAATCAAGCTTGGAAAGTCTAGCTCTTACTCTAAGAACTTCTTCTTCTCCCTAGAGATTCTCTCTCTTCAAGACAAAGATATGGCAAATGATATGGGTTTCTTAACTGTTAATTGACTTAAACCAACTACTGAGGCACGTGGCATTGCCTGGTCAAGTCTCCACAAAAAGGTGCCAGAATAAAAAGACAAGAGTAGGTCAAATTGTATATAACAAGTAAAGCGGCATGGGCACTCTGACAAGGCAAGGATCCTTGATCAAAACATAGGCTTTGGACAAGTAAGGTTCCTTGATTTCGGCTAGGAGTGATAACACTTGGCCTAGGTGTGACACACCTCAGCCTGGGTGTAACAACCCTGACCTATGATTAACTGCTAAACCACGATTAAAGATGCCTAATAAGTAATTAAAATGAAATTCTGAATTAAGGCATGTGTGTTGCATTGTTTGTGTTTCTATTTGTCTATCGTGGAAAGATTTGTTCATATTTTTGTTTGTTCTGTGAATTGAAGACTTTATTGGCCACAGAAAGTGAAATTGACTTGGTTTATGTGTTATTTAGAATTTTTAGAATTTTATAGTAGGTTGAATTGAAATTCAATTCGGAACGAAATAATTAGAATATAATAATTGTCATTACTTAACTTAATCCAAGCTTAATTAGAGCTCCCTAATCAAGCCTATATAAGGCATAAGTGAGCCATTGATTTCATTTTGCACTCTCATTCCCTCATCCTTGAGCTGAAAAACGTGGGGGAGAGAGAGAAAAGGAAGAAAATTGAGATCAAAAGCTAGAAAAAGAGAGAATTTCTAGGAATTGTTGGAGAATTGAAGAGAATTTGGGAGTTTAAGCTTCTATACTTGTGAATTTAAGACGCTAGGTAAGAATTTGAACCTTAAACTTTGTATTGAAGACTTTAGTGCAAGAATTCTAGAGAATGAAGTGTTTATTCTTGAGAATTGAGCTTAAATTAGGAAATTTGAGAGCATTCCATGCATGCATGCATGCATGCATATTTTCTTACATTTTGAGTTTAATTGTTTAGAATTCTCAAATACATGTCCCAATTCTACCTTAGTTTTAAGAATTTATCATGTGTTTCATCAATTTACCTTGGTTGATCATGATTTGAAAGCTTTGAACTCAATCCATTACTTACACATTATGTTTTCAAAGTTTTAAGTTTGAATTTTCACAATGAGCATGTTTTTGGGCTTTGATTTTGCGAAATGAATTCTCAATGTTTTGCAGGTTTAGACATATTTCCTTAAGTTTTGGGCCCCAAAGGTTGCATTTTGAGACTTTGAATTCGAGTTTTGAAGCTTGGAAGCAAATTTGAAAATTCTAAAATTCAGCTTCTCCGCTCAAGCGACAGAATTTGCGCTCGAGCGACCACTCTTTGTTTTTGCACTCCCCGCTTGAGCGACCAAAAGTTGGCTCGAGCGTAAAATGCATGCTCCCAGAAGTTTACACATTTTGCAGACCGCTCGAGCGACCAAAGTTGCGCTCAAGCGAAGACTTCAATCTCATGCTCGAGCGATCGTCGAGCGAAAAAATCAAACAACCAGTACTTTTGCAGAAGTTTACAGACCGTTTGAGTGACGGAAGTTGCGCTCGAGCGATCACCTTTATTTTTGACTCTCTACTCGAGCGCGGACCTTGTTTTCAGTAAATTTGACGAAGTGTTGAATAACATGTTTTGGCATCTTCATTGCATCTTAGGCAGTCATAGACCATGATTAAGACATAATAATGAGGATAAAGACTAGAAGCACACCAAGATAAAAAAGAATTAAGTTAACGAATTCTAAGTGTGTGGTTCAATATGTGTATCTGTTATTTTTGTGTAGGTCATACGCCACAAGTTATCTGATTTGTCTGCTTAATTTGTTCTGCAAGTGGAGTCATATGTGGGTAATAACTTTGTAAAGCTATGTTCACATTAAGTATTTTCCTATATGCTATGATAAGACAAGCAATGATCTGTTTTTCTGAAATGCTATGTTCTGTATCAATGAATGATTATCCATATATTGAAAAGTATTCGTGGCATCCTTAGCACAAGGCCCTTGCCTGGGGGTAACAATACTGTGGTTTATGAGCACAAGGCTCTTGCTCGGGGGTAATAATACCGTGATCTCATAGCCCTTGCCTGGGGTTAATAATACCGTGGTCTCATGGCCCTCACCCAGGGGGTAATTATACTGTGACATAAGCATGTTATCTATTACCGGTACTGGAAGTTCCTTTATGGAACTGGTCAAGTATGACCCTTAATGCTCTGTATCTGATTTGTTAGCGCTAATGGATGTACCATGTATGATTAAGCACGGATTTTGATTTCTGTATATGATTTTGGCCAAGAATAAGAAGTATGACTATGTGTTTTGCTTTCTGAATCTGTTATGGGACACCATTCATTAAACCCTTTATTCTGTTATTATTCACTGGGCTTTCACTTACTACTTATATTATGTATGTAGGTGAGCAGACGCGTGACCAGACTTAAGCTGCTGCCTACGGAGTTTTTGAGTCAGCCAGCCATCGTGTCTCCTAGGGTGGTTCTTGTTTGAAGAATTCAAGTTTTGTGATTCATGTTAAGGATGCTACGTTTTGTTTTGTTTTTGTTTATCTGTACATTAGGCTAAGTCCCTTTTGATAATACTTGTACAGTGTTGCATGACTTATGTGGATATGACGTCATATATGTATATATATTTTATATAAAGTTTTAAGTTATCTGTCTCATATATGTTTGCACAACTCAATGGATGTTGTATTTTGTATATTTGCTTTCGCAGCTCCTCTATTTATATGATTTTCAGGTCAGAGGCCTTCGGTAATCCCAAGATTACTGGCCAGTTACGACGTTAAACCTATAGAGGCGGATTTGGGTCGTGACACTGGGTTGTATAAGTTAACGAACAAGATTGCTAGGTATTGGCTAAGGTGCACAACAAGGCTGCAAGGATCAAAGATCTTAGATGCCTAGGTGATGCACATCTCAACCTAGGCGATGCTCAACTCGGCTTAGATAATGCACATCTCGGCCAAGGTGCAAGGGTGAAGGTAAAGGTCAACCAAGATGGTTCCAAGATGATCCTAGGCGTTGATGCACAACGGCCTAGGTGTAAGAGGTTCAAAGGTGTAACCTAGGTATGAGGTAGCAAAGATAGATGGCCTAGGTTCAACACACAAAGCAAGGAACAGAGTATGAACCTTAGACAAAACACAACAACACAAAATAAGACATGTTAAAGTTTACAAGATGCAAGCTTATCAAACTAAAATCAAATAAATTTTCATGAATATGACTAAAGCAAAATAAGAGTTGTTATAGATCGGTAGTGGTTCAGAATAATGGATAAAAATGACAAAAATTATGTTTCAAAACAATTATTTTTTCACTAAATAATTTCATTAATTAATTCTTTACAACCAAAACAAAATAATTCTTTAACCTAACATCATACACCTCCTAAAAACGAATTTCTCAACATATTTTTCAATATTTTAATACATTTTTATTTGTATTTTAACTGAAAAAAAATTTAAAATAATATACGAATTTTTAGTTTTAATTGTTGAATTTAAATCATTAGCATTTTTGACTTGCCAAAAAATTACTTTAAACAGGGCCCCTATATGCAATCATTATATGGGACAATCTCATTTCAGGCGACGGCCTTATCTAGTGTGGAATTATTACAACATGGGAGAGGCCTCTCCAGCTGGGTATCCCATACCAAATTTGTTAGGTTTATGTGAGCCCATCACATAATCTGAATTGATAATTTAAATTGTTTAATAGGTAGGGTTTATTAAATATTTTATTTTTGTAAAAGTTTATGTTAATTAGATATTGATAATTATTTAATTATATTATATTTATATTCTTAAAATTATTTTTACAATTAACACAAATGCTATTTGATGAAATATCGAAATTTGATTAATATATTTTTTTTTTAGATATAAAATAATCAACGAGTTCTATACATTGATCAATTTAAATTATTAATATGAGCTCCATGTTGAGTCCAATATCACCTTCCGATTTGATTTGAACAGGAGAGAAGCTGTGGACTTACAGGATTCCCCCACCTCTCTCTCTCTCTCTCTCTCATCAAATTTTTAAATCGTGAACCGCTTACTGGGCACACCATTATTATACGAATTTCTTGTCCAGATAAAGAGAAATCATCACTTTCCTTGTATTATCATTATTATTTTCTCTGCAACCAAACACTTCCCCCATCAATGGCATACCACTCCGGATCCTACACCGGCGGGTACGCCCCATCGGCACCGCCAGTGCCCGACTCTCACGGGTCGCCCCAGCAACACCAACCATATCCTCCTCCCAACTACTACTACGGCGCCCAATCCAGTTACGGGTCACACGGCCACTCTGGTTTCCCACCCGGGACTCACCCGGAGGTCATTCGGAGCTTCCAGATGGTCGACAAGGATCGGAGCGGGTTCATAGACGAGTCGGAGCTCCAACAGGCTCTCTCTTCGGGTTACCAGAGGTTCAGCCTTCGGACTATCCGCTTGCTCATGTTCCTCTTCAAGAACCCTAACGACTCTCTCCGAATTGGTCAGTTTTTCGATTCATTCCTTCCTTCCCTGCTTTGTTTTCTCTGATTTTGATTTGTATTTTCTAGCCAGCCAAACAGGCCTCAAATTAATTAATTTTAATTTCTGGAATGGATTCGTTATTTTTGTTATTGAAATTTGAATGTTCACAAACAGACACATGTCTGTAGATTCAGATTTGGTGTTCACAAACATTGTGTTATTTTCTAGCCAACCAAACACCCTTAAATTAATTTTGGTCAAACATATGTGGCGTTCTTTGCAATGATGTAGGCTACTTTTTTGACCTAATTTACAGGGCCTAAAGAGTTTGCTGCATTGTGGAGCTGTCTTGGTCAATGGCGGGTCAGTATTTAATATTTTATTTCTTGTTCTTTGTTGAGTTAAATTGGAAATAGGAAGATTATTCGTAATTTTTAATTCTCATGTCAAAAACCTTTCATGCTGATTTTTGAAAATTTATTTTTTAGTGCTATAACATTGATTTTTGATTATTTTAAATTTATCACTTTTATTAACAATTTAAATGTTAAAAATGGTTCATCACATGTCACAGAAGTGTAAAAATTAAAAGCTGCATTATTGCACTTCACATGGGAGCAAACATGTTTCACTGGAAATTATTCATTATTCAATACTCTTGGGCCATATTTGTTTGGGCGGATATGTGCTTGAGATTGGACTAATAATCTAATAAAATTATTAATCCGATATTTGATTAAAAAATTGAAGTGCAGACTAACAATCCATTTGTATATGGTATCGTACATATGATGGACTATTCAATCCTACATAGGGGGTGTGATATAAATTGGGAGACTAACTCAAAGTCTGTACTAACTTATCAAATGACCATAATAGAGGTATTATGGTCAATATATTGGATGTTCCATGTCTTGTCATGTCCTATCCATTCTAATCCCCTTAAACAAATATCAGATTGCATAATATTTTGTTAATCTCTCCGTACAATCCTAACTCAATCCAAATATAGCATAGGATATACAATTCAAAAGGATTTGTAGTCCTAGGATTATTAGTCATGGGAATACTAATCTAATCTAATCCAGTCCGCTCAAACAAACATGGCCTTGGAGTAATATTTATTTTATTTCTAAATTCATATCTAGCACTGTCTTTTCAAAATTCTATATAAAACTCGTGAATTTAATGCTTTAGGGTTTCAAATGAACAGAATCATTTGCAAATAAGTTTGAACTCGGTTTGGCAAGGGCTTGTTTGAACTTGATTCGTTAAATTTTTATTGCATTCGAGTTTGAACTTCAAGCTTGTTAAAATTTTAATAAATAAGTCCAAACATACTAAAATTTGGCTCGTTAGTTGGGCTCGTTTAATATTTATTTAAATAATAGAATAAATATATTATTTATATCTAACGTAAAAATATAGTTAGAATGTAAAATGAAGGAATTTAGGGTTGAGATTTAAGAGGAAGAAGAAAAAGAAGAAAGAGAAATTTAATATATATTGAATAATCATAGTGACTCAACTTTACATTAGTCAAATATATATACAAACCCTAAGATAGCAATATGACCATTGCACCCTCAACTTAAGTAAATATTAACAAAAGAACAAAAGAACAAAAATAAGTATTCTAACACTCTCCCTCAAGCTGGAGCATAGAGATCGAACATGCCCAGCTTGATGGATAAACGATGAAACGAAGGCCGAGCCAAAGGCTTGGTTAGAATATCATCCAATCGATCGGCAGAATGAACATAAGGAGTCACAAGTTGCTTGCGGAGTAAAAGATCACGAATAAAATGTAAATCAACTTCGATATGTTTGGTGCGTTCATGAAACACAGGATTATTGACAATGAAAATAGCAGCTTGATTGTCACAAGACATGCTCATAGGAGTGCGAACAGAAAAGCCAAAATCTTGGAGAAGAGACTGAACCTAGAGCATCTCAGAAGCAGTATGGGCCATGGCACAATACTCAGTCTCGACACTAGAACGAGCAACAACAGTCTGTTTCTTGCTACGCCAAGTAACAAGATTACTACCAACAAAAGTATAATAGCCCGAGGTGGAACGACAATCAGTCTTATTACCAGCCCAATTAGCATCACTGAAGTCAGTGATAGACAAAGAGGAAGATGGGCGGTAGAACAAACCCCGATCCGGAGCACGCTTCAAGTATTGTAAGATACGACACATAGCCACAAAATAGGTTGGCGGGGAGCATGCATAAACTGACTGATCACACCCACGACATAGGCAATATGTGGACGAGTGATAGTAAGATATATTAACTTCCCAACCAACCGACAATAACGACCAATATCGGGAAATAAGTCTCCAGTATCACCATCAAGCTTGACACTAGAATCCATGGGAGTATCATTGGGGCGAGTGCCTAAGAGGCCAGTCTTAGTAAGAAGATCAAGAACATACTTTCGTTGAGAAAGAAACAACTGCTTCAAATCAGCAATACCATTTGTCACAATCCAAAGCCGCCCTTATAGGTTTAATGTCGTAACCGGTCAGTAATTTGTAGATTACCTACGGCCACAAAGACAAAATTTCAGAATTATTGAATTTTATCGGGGTCTGAAACGGAAGCAAAACAAAAATGATGATGTCCATCGAGCTGTGCGTACACGATCAACTGTAGTAGTTAAAACATTCTTAACACACTTTAATATATACATGTACGAAGACATTTTGTATCATATCTCACACACTACGTGAAGGACTTCTAACCAAGTACAAAGATTATCCCAAGCTTGACAAAACAAACAGAACAAAGCCTCTACATAGAGGCACTCTTGGGTGGCTTGACAAAGAGGCGGACTCCTGGGCAAACTCTAATGTTGATCCTCCAATTGCTCACCTACACCTACATATATATAAATAAAGAGTGAGCTAACGCCCAGCAAATAATTCCAAAGTAAAGAGGATATATGAATGAGATCTTAATTAAGTAATTCATAATTATGCATAATACATGTAAATCCAAATCAGAATAGCTTCAAGCTCATTCCATCATGTTCAAGGTGTATTAGAGGGGTAAAACAACCTCGGGTCCAAGTTCTCATTCATACAGAACGACCTCAGGTCCAAAATACTTGTCTAATAATATTACAGAACGGCCTCGGGCCCAATCATAATACAGAATGACCTCAGGTTCATCATTTCCATGTTCATATCTATGCGCATATTTATACTGAACGACCTCAGGTCCATCATTTCCATATTCATATCTATGCGCATATGTATACTAAATGACTTCAGATCCATCATTTTCATATTCATATCTATGCGCATATGTATACTAAACGACCTCAGGTCCATCATTTCCATATTCATATCTATGCGCATATGTATACTAAACTACCTCAGGTCTATTATTTCCATATTCATATCTATGCGCACAATTATACTGAACAACCTGAGGTCCATTATTTCCTTATTCATATCTGTGTGCATAATTATACTCGTGATCATGATTGCATTCGTATTAAGATGGCCTTAGGCCCATTTCGTGTCCTTGACGCTCATATTAGACAATCTTGGGCCCATTTCTTATCGAACATATCCTTTGTCAAGTATACAGAACGGCCTTTAGGCCCATTTCATATTAACTTACAACGACCTTTGGTCCATGTAATCAAATGATTTCATACTATTCAAATTCATTACAGAGTCTAGCACAATTAGACGAATAGAATGCTCATTCATAATTCGAATTCACAAATCCAGAAAACTTACACATGAGTAGTATTTAAACATAGCATATATGAACATATCTTTACTAAAGTATTACTCACAGTGTTCAGATGCCTGGTTCGCCCTTGTGGTTGACCCTACACAATTCATAATATACATAGAAATCGGGTCACAATATAATTTATTCCTAACTTGTTTAATTCTCTTTATACCAAATTACATATCAATTTGCAATTTCATAAATTCATCACAAGTCACAAATAACATCATCAACTCAACATACTTCTCAACACATATCTCAACGCAATCCACCTTTTGCTGACTTACTACGGCGGGATAGCGAGCACCCAATTCATAACACTTTCCATCTTTCGCCGGCTACTATTCGGGGGAAATTGAACTCCCAAAAATCATTTTCTCAAAAGCCATTTTCTTCCAAAAGCCATATTTCTCCAAAAAATCATTTTTCAACTTTTTAAAACCATCTCCCACATTTGCTGGCTATTATACGGACGGTCGTGGGCTCTGAAAAATCATTTTTCAACTCTCTGCGCGGATACCAACACAACACCACCCAACCCAAACTCAACACACCCAACACAACTCAACATGATTCAAACACAATTCATCATAGTTCAACACAATTCAATTCAACATTATGCAACACAACTTAATTCAACATAAGTCAACACAACTTAATTCAACAACACTATTTGCAATTTAACATAATTCAAGATAAATTCTTGAATCCCATTTCAACATTCCATAACCAAGTTTATGTTATCCATATCATTAACACATCTTTTCCCCCAACTTCATTTCATGTTGTAGCATGATTTACAATGCCCATAACAAAGGTTCATTTGCTAATTTTTAACATAATTTTCAAACATTTCTAAAATTCAATTAAACTTGTTATATATAATTCAACCTTTCAATTTCATGATTCTACTTTTAATTTAGGCAAAATCGTTAATTATCATCATGAATCAACTTAAGGTTTTCAAGAAAAATTAAGATTTCCAAGAAAAATTAAAACTTCTCACACCACCACTTTTTATTCCAAATTTCCCTTTGATCATATACCTAAGGTTCATAATCCACCATCTTAACCCAATAATTGAGCCCCAACACTTCAAACCCTATACTCCCAAATTTCATGATGTAACACTATATGCTTAAAAATGTAGATTTTGTATTTATATAATCAAAATACCACAAATCTATCCATTAATGCAAGTATTGAAGAAGAACTAGGACCCCCACCTCATGAATCAAGCAAAAGAGCAATGCTTTTAGAAAAATCCTTCGCAAATCTGAATTCCAATCGGTAGAAAGGTAAGATCTTCAAGCCTCTTCACTTTTTGATAAGAGATCTTGGCCAAAACTTTAGGGAATGGGAGGTATTTGGGCCAAAATCTCTAGGGTTTTCGGACTAAGGGTGAGAGGGATGAAGAGAGAAGATGAAGGTGTGAAGAATGGTCTAGAAAAGTGCCTTTAAACTTGCTGAATTCGTGCAGTCCGCTCGAGTGTTGCTTTTCACGCTCAAGCGTACCTGCTTCCAGCACAGATATGAAAACTTCAAACGGGTATAACTCTCTCATCCGGACTCCGTTATAGGTCGTTCTTGTGTCCAAATTGAAGCCC